CGCCGCGCGCACCCCGGGGCGCCCCTGTCTAGCACGGCCCGGAGGATGGGGGGCGGCGGGTCGGCCCTGAGGGTCTGCGCCGACCACCGCGGGGGCATCAACTGGCTGAGCCTGAGCCCCGACGGGCAGCGCCTGCTGACGGGCAGCGAGGACGGCACGGCCCGGCTCTGGAGCACCGCGGACGGCCAGTGCTGCGCGCTCCTGCGAGGTACCCGCCGCGCGCCCCTCCCGCCCTCTTCTCCCCCGGAGCCCTGGGCCGGGCCCTGGAGCCCAGCAATCCCGCCCGCCGACCGCTTCCCGGAGTCCCGCGCTGCCCCTCGAGGCACCCGGGGGAGCGCCCGGTCCCTTTGTGCCCGGGGCGCGGCGGGAGGAGGAAGAGACGGGGAGCCCGGGCTGGGATGGACGCTGGGGGTCAGGTGGGGGGGCGTGCGGCGTCTGTCGCGGAGGCAAGGTCATTTGTCAACTGGCTGCGTAAGATCATTACCACGACGACAATTTTAGCACATTTGAAGAAGTGGAACCTAAACTCCTTCGAAGCAAACCTTCCCTGTGGCTCTTTGACCTGTGGCCGACATTTCCTGTTTGGGTCCATAGGGAACAGAGGGAAGGAGAGGAACTTGTGGGGGGTGTGCCGCGGCCAGTGAGACCTTTTACTATGTTTCCCTACATTCAGACGAGGAACTGAGGCGCAGGGATCCTAACCTGATCAGGCTGCAGCCCGGGAGTAGAGGGTACACTGGAAATTTGACCTCGCTCCGCCGTCTCCACCCAGCACCCCCTCCCCAGCCTTCTGCCAGCTTCATCTCAGCCGCCGCTTAAGCCCGCGGTGCTGGTGGGATCAGTCTGTGACCTCTTCCGTGCGTTTGAGGAGCAGACGAAACCATCGAGTGTCACAGGGTGACGGGAGCCACGCGAAGCCGTTGTCCACGTGGACACCTGTAGATTTATATTTTCGTTCGCATTCTGTGGACAGCGCGGGTCCCCCGGGTGGATCCAGCCCTGGCGGAGACAGCTCTTTCTCTGGACGCTGGCTTTTCTGCCTGAATTGGCAAATCCTGGTGACCGCGCCCAGCCCTTCCAGCTGAGACAGAATGTTGACCTCAGCAGCGGCTGATCGGGTTGCTGTTGCATTCAGCAGAACTAGTGAAGGTCGATGTCTCAGAGCCCCGTGGGGATGGATTGGTGTTACTGGTCCCTTGAGAACGGGGCTGGATGGTGGAGAGCCGGCCACAAATAACACACGCTCTTCCCAGCCTCCCGAACAGCCCCCGGCCCCGACAGGCAGCCACCTAGAGCCGAGCTCTGCTGGCGTCTTTCAGGGCTGGAGTGGGTCTCACAAGTGCAGACCCTCCGGGCTCCAGGGATCCCCTGTGAGCAGAACCCTAAAGCAGCATTTGGAAGAGGCTTTCGGGGGGCGCTGATGCACAGCCAGCCCTGGGAGCTGCGGGGTTCCTGTGGGAGCCTCTCCCACTTACGCTGTATCTGGCCCAGGCTGGTCCTCCTTGGTGGGCCCTGGCTTGTGCCTGGGTAGCCCGAGCACACCAGGGCAATGTGTCTGCCATCCGGGACTCCTTCACACTATTTTGGTGGCTGTCACAGCTGCCTGTCCACTTAAGGCGGTGACGCCTGGGGTGCTGGCCTCCTGTGAGGGCCCTCCCGATTCCCACGGAAATGTGCTGAAGAGCCGCTTGCTGTTTGTACCAGGATTGATTCTGTGCTTACAGAGGCTGGTACTTCACAGCTTTCAAGGACAGAGAGGACGGAGCAACCCTTTCTGAGCTGGACATCCTGCTTAGGGACTGAACTTGCAGGAAGTGCCGTGGGTGTGTGCCGGTCCTTTCATGTGCTCCCTTCCCAAAGCAAGGTCTTGCTAACTCCCTGCTCCTGGAGAGCTTTTCTGTCCCCGTTAAATATCGGTAAGATGTCTTCACGTTGATTTCGTACCGTACACCCGATACATGCATGTCTCTGCATCTTTGTGGTGGGGTTAATCCCCTCTGTCCTGGGGCAGATGTGACCCACATCAGAGGCATAGACTTACTTACCAACACAAATCATCCTGTTTTCTGGCCCTGGGGGATGGGTGCCAGCCTCCGTGTCCCCTGCGGTGCCCACTGCGGGACTTGTCCAAGGTCACAGGGTTGGTGGATGGCAAACTGGGCTTTGTCCCGCTGTGGCTGCCGCTCGCACTCGGGGCGCAGGGGAAGTTGTGCCCAGGCTGCGCGGAGGAGCCCCGATCCCTAGGCCCTGTGTACAGCTTTCCACTCCTGCGCGAAGCTCCCAGTGAAGGCCGGCTGCTGGCTGAGGCCCGTATTTCGTGGGGAGAGCGGTTGGGGTTGGTGACTCTGCCCAGAGCTTTTCCTGCACACTGCAGTGGAGGCAGAGCAGGGACCAGCAGCTTGGAAGCTTGGGCCAAGGGGTGGGAGGGCTGGAGGCAGGGGACGGGGCAGCCCGCTGTGGAGTGGGGGCCCGCTGGGCAGATGGATGCTCTGGGGGCCCTGGGACAGCTGTGGGATTGTCACGGGGTGCCAAGGATCCGCTCCACTTACTTAAGAATGGGCTTTCAGATGCAGCTGTGAGCTCCCTGCAGAAAAGAAGGCTTAATTACCAGTTATTCAGTAAAGAGAACTGCGTGGCCTGTAATTCCCCAGAGGCTGGGACAGCTGTGCCCCTGCACGGCAAGGGTCAGGCACTGCCCGGAGCGGTTCCATGCCCGCCGTCCTGTACGCAGGGTGATTGAAACATGAGGCATGTTTACATTTTAGAAAATTACTGCAGTGAAAGACTGGGAATCTCATTCTGCGGGTCGCTGAGACCGGCAGGTTCCCTCCAGGGCCAGGGCCTGTTCTGTGCACTTTCAGTTCAGCCGGGGGCTCAGGCTCAGGGTCCCAGCGCACTGTGGCTGCCCCAGTACTGCCCTCGGTCTCGTCGTGGTCCCCGAGCCAGGGCTGCGTTCCTACAGGCTCAGGGGATGGGGTGTCCTCAGCTGTCAGGCGTGAGGGTCCCTCCGTGGGCGTCCCCTGAGAAGGCCGTGGCGAGGCTCTCAGCCGTCCTGAGGATGTGCGGGAAGGAGTAGACCCTGTTCCAACATGTGGGTGACAGACGGCTAAGACCAGAGGCCCAAGCCCCAGCTGCGGCCCTTTTCCCGTCCGCCACTTGTTCAGTGCTTCCAGCTGGGTAGCTCAGGTGGGGACTGTGGAGGAGACCGAGGACAGAACCAGCGGGGCTCTCGTCTCTCCCAGGGACAGCGTCCCTGCAGCGCAGAGACGGCTGTGGCAAGAGGGCACCTTTGAGGGCACGGTGACCTTTGCTGGACGCACGGTGAGCCTGAGTGGCCCTCTAGGTTGGAGGGGGTGGAATCCTGCCCTAAGTCTGCCTGCAGCTGCCTCTTTTTGCAGTCTGCCCAGGACTGGGAGGACCAGGAGCAGCGCTTGTGGTCCATGCGGTGGGGACCAGGAACAGGGAGGGTGCGGGACAGGCTGGTGTGGACAGCAGGGTCAGGTGACCAGGACAACTCTTCTGTGTGCTGCAAGGCTCAGGGAGATACCCAAAACATGGGGCCATCCCTGTCACCGTGTGTGCAGTGGATCAAAGCAAGCAGGGCGTGGTGGCACACGCCTATAATCCCAGCACTCAGGAGGCTGAGGCAGGAGGATCTTGGCAAGTTGGAGACAAGTGAGCTCCAGGCCAGCCTGAACTGCATAGCAAGACCCTGTCTCAAAAAGACCAAAAAAAAAAAACAAAACAAAAAAAACAAACAAACAAACAATCAAACAAAAACTCAGCAAAAGTTTAGATCAAAAAATTATTATGATAAAAGATGTTGCCATGAATCCCCTCAAAATCCTCCTCCTTACTCTGAACCCACTGATCCTACCCCCTTACTTTCCCCCCACTGATCCTACCACACTTGCTACTTTCGAAAGCAGTTCTGGAAGTCCTTCCTGATGTCTTCAATGCGCTGTTGTCCTCCAGCGATTCAAGACATTCACCCTCCGTGGCCATTCTGACTCTGGGGAAGAGCCAGGGGGTTCACAAAGCAGATCCAGAGAATAACGTGGACAAGGACACAGTGTCATGCTTTTCCTGGTTCTTTGTTTTGTTTTTCTTTGACACAGCATTTTGCTATGAAGTTCAGGCTGGCCTGAACTTACTCTGTAGCCCAGGCTGGCCTCAAATTTGAGGCGATCCTCCTGCCTCAGCTTCCTGAGTGCTGGGATTATCGGCCTGCTCCACCACACCCAGCCACAGCATCGTGTTTTGATGACCCCGTCTTTCCCCTGGATGGGACTCAGCAGCAGCGTTCACTGTCTGTTTTATCATACTACATAAGACCCCAGGAAAGAGCGTGTCCAGAGCTGCTTCAGAAGGTGGCAAGAACAATGGGATAGTGTGTGCAAAGCGAGGCGGGGTTCATGGCAACGTGTCTTGTACTATAATACATTTTTCACCACACATTTTGATCATACCTCCCCGCTGTGGGGACAGCTGGCAGCCTTGCTGCTCAGCGCTGGGACCCAGAGAGGGAAAGCTGTCCAAGATGTGCCCCCCTTGGAGGTCAGCCGTGGGCTAGGCCCCAGGGCTGCCTCTCCTGGACAGGGCGGGCGCGCTGTGACCCTGACCCTGCCGCCCGTGGGGCACAGGGAGGGGAAGAGCTGAAGGCTTGGCCGGAGACCGTGGAGCCTCAGTCTGTTCTTTTGAACATAACTGCATTTTATCTGCATTCTTCATCCCTCTGAAAATATTTATTTTCAGTTTTACATTTTTGCTTATTCTGCACAACTCTTAACAGCTGAAGGCCGAGGCACTGTGGTCCCCTGAGGTGTGACGGGCTGCGGGCTCGGGGGCGGTGCCTTCTCTCTCCCTCCGGCTGACCCGTGAGCCTGGGCCTGGCTGCGTGCGGTTCCTCGGGACACAGCTCACGGGTGTCGGGGTCGTGCTGCGCAGTGGCGCCGAGAGGGGGCGCACGTGGCAGGGTCCAGGGCACCGAGCTGCGAGCCCCGCCCCGACCTCACTGAGCGCGCTTTCTGAGGTGGCTGGAGTGCTGGGGAACAGAGGGCGCGGTTCTCGGCCGGGTGGCGGAGGGCAGAAGACGGGAGCATCGGGCCCGCCTGGCTCGGGTTCAGAGATGAGGTTTTGTACGCGGAAAAGCTCGGGGGCTGGGCTGTGGCTCGGTGGTAGAGCGCCCAGCCCTGCAGACCCGAAACGAAATCAAAGCCCTTGACTTCCCCTTGCGTTGCTACTTTTCTCCCAGCCCCCCACGGTGTTTTCAGGTCTGGGGCGCTGCGATCCGTGTTTGTGGCCCTGTTTTCCCTACCTGTGTTTGTGGCCCTGTTTTCCCTACCGGTGTTTCCAGCAGCCCCGGGGCGGCAGCTGCTCTGGCTCCAGGGAGCAGAGGTGTGTCTGTGGCTCGCCAGCCGCTTTTCTCGGTTTAATTTACCGCTCACCCCTGCACTTCACCTTTCTGCCACGCAGGGACAAAACAGCTGGCACAGCTGGGTCAACCTATCGGCCTCCGCCTGCTGTGTCCTCACGTGTCCGTTGGGGAGGTGACTCCAGCAGGCTGCTCGAGCCCAGCCCCCGGCTGGCTGGCCTTCGCATCCTTTGGCTGCCCCCATTCTGGTCCGGGGACCCTGAGGTGGCTCTTCCTTGGGTTCTGCGCCCTGCCCCCCTTCATCACAGTGGCGGCAGGGAGGATGGGGCAGATCTGGTCCCAAAGCAAGAATGTGGACAGCCTTAAAATATTTTATAAACTCCTTGGGATTGGCAAAGATCCTGGCTGTGTTTTCTCCAACACATTTGGCCCTTAACTTTTACACCAACATGCACTTTAAGAGAAACATAATCTGCATTTCTTAGAGTGTTTACTTAATTCCTACATTGTTTTCTTTTTTTT